TTACTTCATAATCTGTACAATGATTCAAGAATATTAGATTACTAAGCAATGCAATTACTACTACTACTACTCAGCCGTACGCCTAGCACCAGCCTCTTCTCTTTAGATGACTAATCCTCTCTTTGGATGACATAACTAATAATCTTCGAGAAATGGCAGCCCTTCCACCCACTCACCCTGGGGCTTTCTATATCAATTTTGGTTCTAAAAAGAAACTCCACGAAAAATGAAAAAGGGCTGTTGGCTATAGAACATTTCATATTTTGTATACTAGTGGAGCATGTAATAATTTAGGAAACCGTATCATAATAGAACCAAAATTGGAGTTCGGGCGATGACCGGGGTTCGACTCTCCCTCAGAGAATTTAATATGAGTGTATTCAATGAATCTCAATGTTCGAAATATATTTTTGGTGGATTTTTCGGAGGCGGAAAATTCTTTTGGGTGAAGTGGGAGTGGAGTGGAGTGGGGTAGGACTTGCAATGATGTTCAGATATACCCGAGCCCAGCGGCAGCATGGATGATAACGATAGATCATAGATGTCACTTGCCAGTTGCCAGACCATCGATTGATACGTCACCGCCTGAAGCATCTTCCTCTATTTCGAGATCACCACGTTCGGAATCCGAGCAATCGCCGATTGTTACGGATAGCATAGATCCTGACGGACTGAAAGACGCAGATGTGATTTCGGAGTGTTCAAATAAATCGGCAACATCATAGGAAGTGTCCCCTCATAGCAAAACGGCTATTGCTGTCATGAAAAACGCAAGACTCGTGCTCTCTGATGTAAAGCAATCTTTCTTTTGCTGTACCCTTCACCCACTAAAATTATTCAGGTTGACATTATTGAGAGATTTGATGAAAGAAGGAGGCCACCGGCTCAAATTAGGGCGCCTTCATCAGCATATGACTCTTCAACTAGTGGATCGCGTTCACCAAGTAGAGGTGCAATAGAAAACACGGAGCCTTAGAAGCTAGAGCTTGTGTTTGCACCGAGTGAATTACCAAAATCGAGATGAAAAGATCATCTACAGCGAAGGATACTCTCTGTCAGTTATAGAACTCGTAACGACAATCACCGTGGATATTTGGGAAGCTAGATTCGAGAGTATGTCCATCAAGGATCACATCAGAGGACAAAAACACACCAAGACATTCTATATTCATTCTCCCCTGCTCATAAATGCTCTACGCGCTGTCGTTTCTTATAACCCGGGTAGAGATATGCTTGGAGATATACTGGGATTTGCAGAGCCTTTTAATCTTCTTGCTTGGCATTGGAATGAGTTGGAAACTTACAAGGATGATCATCCGTAGAGTCACTCAGATGACTATTGCGAGGAATGTAATCAGCATATCGATGTGTTGTTGTAGTTCCTTGGAGAGAATTCTAAGGCTGTAATCAGTAAGATCCGTGAGTATTTCCTTTCTCATCTTCAATGCCAGTTCTTTCGGGTATTTTAAATTCAGACTGGGTCATTCTCAACGATCCACATCTTCTCAAAAAAAGCATTCAGATTATCTCGATTAGTCAAATTGTCTTTCAAATGTCTCAAATCGTTTCAATCTTTCATTGTCGGCTATTTTAAGTCTATAATGACTAACACTTTTGTGGCTCTATAGTCCAATGTGTACTTTTGAATATGTCTGGATGCTTCTTAGACCGGGAAGCGATGCATATACTGTTCCCGGTTTTTGGGCTGCCAACTGTCCACGTTCCGTTTTTGTTTGTGATGGTTCGACTGAGGCACCAGCCTAAAAGACGATTGAAGCTTATGTAGTCAAGCTATGGGTGGGACCTTCAATCGGATGACAATTCGGTCAGAAGACACCCTGCCACAGCAGAGATTTCACCATTTGCAGGAGAGAAAGAGATCCGGTCTCCGCTTGTTTATCTAACAAGTTTAATCGAAGAAGATAAATGGCAACCGCTCAAGGAACGCTTGATAGCTCGGGGCAAACCGTTTTATGATTATACATCGATATCACACAAACATTTTCATAGTTACACTTTGACAAATCCAAGAAGTACTGTAAGTTCAGAAGTCTTGGGGCGGTGTAACTATGGAGTTCAGTAACGCTAATTTAAGCTCAATTCACGGGTTATTCTTGATACAGCAGATTTTCATGGCAGAAACATCAATTCAGGTTTGAAGTTCAAAGGAATAGGCTCTCAAGACAAAAATATTCACGTTCGAGGCTGCTCATGTTCTTTTTGTGAGGATACATAGGATGGCATGGACGAGCTGGAATTCGCCGAGTATCATTGTATCCCGCTCAAATCGGTGCACCTAACAGGGATACCTTCGAATCATCAGTATCTCATACTTTCTCCAAGGATCTGGGTACGTTCTTTGCCACTATGAACCTCATATGAAAGACTGAATCGTTAACGCGATATAGGGATTTGCACTGAAGACAATGATATGGGGTACGTAGTACTTATCCAGCAAAATACCCGTTATCGCTGCTAAAGAATATAGAAAAGCTTGATATGGATGCAATGTATGACATATCTTTCAATCCGGAGGTCATCAACGACCTGGTCCTTGACCCCGAGGAGAATAAGCCTCTACTTAAGGCACTTACCAAACGATATGCACAGCAGCCTCATGACATTGATGTAGTTGCTGTAGTCAAAGATGATATAACAATTGTGGAACTCGAAGAAAAATTGGGGTGGTGATTTTGTGGAAGGCAAAGGAGAAGGACAAATTATATTGTTGCACGGTAAGAGAGTATCTTTATAAGTACCTTGAAACCTATTCATATAACCCCTATTGACAACCGAGTACAGGACCTCCTGGTGTGGGTGAAACATGCACAGCAGGTAAGTAAGCTAATTCCTCACGAAAACATAGATTGACAATACTTCCAGAAAGTGTGGCTGAATTTGCGGAGCGGCCTATCGTCTCACTCACCTGTAGCGATATTGGTACCAACCCTGACACAGTGGGACACAAGCAAGGTACATGGATGCTAAAAGCGCGACGATGGGGAGCTATTCTTCTCATTGATGAAGCAGATGTATATTTAGAAGAACGTGCAGCTCATGACTTTAAACGCAACAGTTTAGTCGCGAGTATGCCTACTTCTCCGTCCAATCCCTTGCATCTGCGTTCCATTCCAATGTCTTCTTCACTAACATGATATATTTCAGTCCTCCTCAGCTGCCTCGAGCATTACCAAGGATTGTTATTTCTAACCAGTAATCGCGTCGGAGTCTTCGACGAAGCATTCGCAAGTCGCATTCACATCTCCATTTGGTACCCTGGTTTTGATGATGCAAAACGGATCAAGATTTGTAAGACGATGATTAACCGGATAGAGCGAGAAAGGAAAGACTTCAACTTTGCTTTTGATTTCAAAAAGTATATCGAGAAGGATGATGATTTGAAGAAAGTAGGGTGGAATGGGAGAGAGATTAGGAATGGTTTGTAACTTCACTTATACTCACTCCTTTTCTCCCATTATTTAAGCTGTTACAGACAATCGCATTGTGACGCAAGATAGCTGATAGAAAATAGCATTCCAAACTGCACTAGCTATAGCGGAATATTAGACCACAGAAAAAGGAACCAAGGAGATTAAATTGAAGTGCAAATATTTGGATCAGATTGTCAAGATGTCGAGAAGTTTTAAGGAATTTTTGGGCTCATTGCCAAATAGAAATGTAACGAAGAAGGTGATGAAATATGGGACGAGAAATGATGATTTTGGTAGGGAGTTGAGGATTGGAGGCTAAGGCTTGGGTTAAGCGAGCGGGTAAGAAGTATCAGATCGATAAAAGGAGGTCTAGAATGATGTTCTTTGCGATAGCGTTAGTAGCCGTTCAATAAATTGGTCGATATAGTACCCTAGTCTAAGCTTCCTGTCCTTTGTGAGAACTAATTTAACAATTCAATTAGCTAAAAGAGGCGGAATTACTTCAGTGGTGGGTTCGAGTGAACCAGGAGTTGGTCATAATCAACCCACTTTCGCAAATCCATAGTTACTGCATCAGGAAGTACAAAACATTCTCACCACCATCCTCAATAGGAGAAAAAAAATAACCGGATAAATACACCGATTATGCAGCACGCTATATCCGATCAAGGTGGGGAACCAACAATCAACAATATGGATTCCGGGCTCCGCGGCCAAGTCTCACTTCGGATCAAGGGTTGATTGGCCTGTACCGAGCTGCTGGTACACTAAATAGGCTGTTGCCATTCTAGCTGGGTATGTGATACGCTGGAGATACGGATGTGAAGGAACTTGGAGTTGGCGAGTGAAATTTGTGGATTGTGCATATTGTTGTGGGTCTCGTTGATTGCTAGGTAGGATTTTCGAAGATGTGGTTATTGGTCGGGGATCGGGGTTCTTTGTGTCTATTGTTTGGTACATTTTCTTAGCATATCATTATTTGTCGGGCGAGTGGGTCACTGAATAACATTAATATTCAATCAAGTGATTGTGTGGTTGGATGCCTTTACTGATCTCATTGCATTGTTAAGGCCTATGAGAAGCTGGGACAATCAACTGGAGATTAGCATCAAAGACAAGTCAAACATTGCCTCTATTGACAAGGCCGAAAAGTAATTGGAAAGAAGCATTTAGTTTAATATTGTTTGTCTATTTGGATCATCTACCTTCTAATGCAATACTAGCGAGGATCAACATGCCGTGGCAAGATATTAATTAACCCACTCTAACAAATTGACTTTCAAACTCCCATATGGGACCTACATAGATTTTGCGGCCGTAGAAAAGCCAAAAGATCATGCTGAAGAGAACCGCCCCGCCGAAAATCAAACAGCTCCAGTTCATATTCGCTGCATCAACCGTTGAGAAGGCGGGCCAGAATGAGAAAAAGAATGCCATCACCGTGTAAATTATGGCTACAATAGTGATGGGTATACCTAGTTTCCGGAGTCGAAAAGGACCCCATGGCATTTCGGTCGTAGGTGTCGATAATCTTTTTATCAACATGACAGTTGCGGCCAGTAAGAAAGAGGACTGGTAAGCGGCCAACACGACCGAGTAAAAGGCTCCGAAAGCTGTGGTTGATCCAACACTTATTAGTGCCAGGAGAACATTAACTATAAGTGTTCCTATGACTGCGTTGATCGGTAGTCGCGTTTTGGGGTCAACCTGGATGCTCATCGTCAGTTCTAGAACCATGGAATTTATGGGACCATTTTTGTCACCTTGACTAGAAGATGAGAGAAGGGTAGTCCATTCTCTCTGGAAAAGGCCCACAAGGTACGGGACGCTCCAGTTATGACACTGCTGACGGAGAAGACGTTTACACTGATGATAATAATAATCTGTCGAAAATTAGAATGATCTATGAGATTTTTGGATAAGGACCTACCAGTGCATTGGCTCCTGATGTCGATCCTAATGCTGTTTGGAAAATCTCCATGAAGGGGAATCCAGTAGCTGTTTCGGTGGCAGCGACGATGTCTTGGATACTGAACAATACTGCTATCATCATGGAAAATCCTAGTGCGCCATTAAACAATGTCGAAAACCAGATACTGAACGGGATGACCTCGGAAGCTTGATTAATTTCTTCGGCTGTTCATGATTAGATTGTCAGTCAAAGTTTTAGTCATGATGTTTCCATCAAGTGAGAAGGGGAAAACCATACCAATATGATCTGCTCCATCATTACCCACAAAAGAACTGACCGATGTGATCCATCCCACGAAAAATGAGAGGCCCTGAGTGTCCCATCCACCCAGATTCTGAAAGGTTGTGAAGACTTTTTCAGCAGGTGCATGAGGCGACAAATAGACTAATGGGATGAGCACGCCAAAGAATCCCAAAATGTACAAAATGAGCATCATTGCTTCGATTCGCGGCAACAGGCGACCCAAAAAAGTGTTGATGAAAACTCCGAAAAGAGCTATAGCATAAAACAGCAAGGTCGCTTGCCACAATTTCGGATCATATTCCGGGTAGTTGAGAATGAGGATACCCTGAATCAAAGAAGCAACTGAATAGCATGTTTCCGCCACAAAAGCCTGCCAACAGATAACGGTAAGCCATCCAGCCAAGTAGCTAAGAAACTTCTTGCACCAGGGAGGAGACAATATTGCAACCCAATTGAAAGGACCACCGGCGAGAGGAATCCTGCAATTGATGAGTACTATATCCCCATAATACAGTCGATATTTCGGATTGTTGACTCACATTGATGCCATTTCAGCCATGACCAAAGCTTGGAGCATAGACCCAAACCATGCTGCTAAAAATCCGTAGATGAGGCCAGCAGGGCCACCATTTTGTAGACCGAATTGAAGAGTGCTTTATATGTAAGTCACACTTTGCTTACTTCTGTATTAAAAGAGATAAAGCAGTATTCTTACAACAAGATGACTTCCCATGTTAACATCAAACCACATGTTAAGCCTACGGAAGATAGTGATTTAAATCGTCGCTAAAGACTAAGTTAGCCAAGATGTACAGTGATTTAGCGGTCTAGTCAAACGCACCTTCAGCTGTTGCTTTTTTCCAAACACAGCAAGAGTCGCTTCATCTTGAATTTTACTTGCGTAATCTTTCTCTGATAATTTCCCTCGTTCTGTTAAGTTCATTTCTGCGTCCCCCCGATCAAGATCCACGCCGGTAGTAGTAGCGACCTTGAAGTCCTGCGGCACATCAGGCTTAAAATCTCCGAGCTTGTGGGCAGACATGTTTCGTTGCAAAATGACAAAACAACGCTTCGAAGAAAGGAAAAGTTAATGAGAAGAAGAAAAATGAAGGGGGGTCGATCAATAGCGATAGTATTTCTCAGTGAACTATCATGTTGCATGCACATACACAATTATACCAACCGTTAGACCTGGATTAGTTGCGCGCCCCACAGCTTGAATACAAGAACGTCTGGTTGCATTGCAAACGTTAATCGCTACTTGTCTAAGTTTATTACCCCCTGTTCAAACCCTGCGGGGAAGCGGGTGCCAATTTGCAATATCAACAAGGGGTACAATAGCTTATCAGCAACTTTAACCGAGAGCGGATAATGATGGGCCCTACCTTCTAAATGCAATTAGCCATATATTGCTGACTGGCTAGAAGGAAGTAGGGTAGTATTCTTATCTTTCAAACAATAAAACAATTTCAACGCACCTCAAACATCCAGCATCAACCGCTGTCATGGCACCCATCAACCCAGCCGCCGATTTCTACGACAATTTAGGAATTAGATACGAGAAGAGCTTCGGACACGATGAAGGACTCATAGCGTTCGTTACCGAAAGCTTAGAGCTTTTACCTACGGGCCCTGATACGGCCGTCCTTGACATCGGCAGCGGAACCGGCATCCCGACATCTAGTCTCGTTGTTAACAGCGGCCGCAAATTACACGGCATTGATTTCTCTCCCGTCATGATCGAATTGAGCAAGCGACAAGTCCCTGGCGGAACTTTCGAACTGGCTAATATTCTCGAATTCTCCCCTGAGTCTCAATCCCAATTTCAAGGAGCTTTTGCGACATTCTCTCTATTCCATTTCTCTCGCGAGGAAATGGATGTAGCTGCTAGGAAATTGTCGCAGTGGATTGCTCCTGGAGGCTATATCTTTATTGGGACCATGGTGGCTGAAGATTTTCCGACCGAGTCCCAGATGTTTGACGAGGATGGAGAGTGTGCAAGAGGCATCGAGCATACTTTTATGGGGAAACGGATTGGAAATCTTATGTATACCAAAAAGGGCTGGGTGAACTTGTTGCGAAAGTTTGGATTTGAGGTGGTGAAGACAGAGATGGTGCCATTTCAGGCACCCACAGAGGCAGAATGTGATGTTGAGCCGCATTATTATATTACTGCACGCAAGAGTTCTGCTTATGAGCTCGAATAATGAGTGGAAATTTAAGCCTTGCCAAGAGCCTGGATTAATTGCCGGTGTAATTATAACAAAAGATCTAGATCGAGATAGATATAAACCGTGGATTCTACTTTCTAGATTAAAATAACTTTGTCCATGCCCCCATTCATATCTGACACCCACCCCGTACGTATCCGAAGTGGATTCAGTTCATTCGGATGCAAATGTAAGAAGCTTGAATTCAACCTGCATCCAAAGTTAGCCAACATTCATCAGATGTACATCGATTAGAGCCTGAAACTACAAGTTGATTTTATCACAAATTTACGGCGGGGGCAATCGACTGAGCTTAATAGCCCGTTCGGCGTTCAGTTAACGGTGTTGATCAACACTAATATGGAGCAAAAAGATCTGCAAATTCGTATCCACCTTAGAACAAGTGAACTTTCGAAGGGTTTTATTGAAATGAAGGATTTGGAAAGGTTTTCAGCTTCACTTAATCATAATTTCATTAATATTAATATTTTATTTTTGAAAATTTGGTAACCAGATAATTCTGATAATCAGCTTTTGAAAAATATCATTTTTATCAAATTCTAAAAAAATTCATGATTCAATTAAAGTTTCAAGATTAAAATGTATCCTAATCCTTCATTTTGATGATTAAGCGAATAACCTCACTTTTGACGGCATTTCCCGGGAAATTTCATTCAAATTTCATTCAAAATCTGGACACCGAACAGATACCCCTTTGTCAACATATTCAGACTGGATTAGCGTATTTAGCATACTTTTCATCGTGTTGACGAATTTGCGTGCCTGCACACAATATACGGAGTGATTCGTCAACACCGTCAACTGGACACCGAACGGGCTCTAAGCCTTATATACAGCCTAGTTTCAACGCTCCGAATCGGCGATTGATTGGTAGCCCAAAAAGTGGATATAAAATCGCAGATCAGGCAATCCACTTCATTGAATCTTCCAATCATATGATCTGCTTAGCTTCAGCCTTACTATGCAACTGGACCAAAGGGGTAAGGGCTTACTTAAGCTCAGTTACGTGAAATTTAACGGTATTATTAGATGTCTCTGTGTAGATCAGTAAAATTAGACCCAACAATCCGGTTGGATCTCGTATACTGATTTCCGCAGCGTATGGACCAGGACCAGGACCAGGACCAGGACCGGCAAAGAAGACGAGAAGCGGCACAGTACGTATCTCAGGACCCTTGTTGTCCAACTTTCAATGTAATTTTAGGCAATCTCCCTCAGTTCTGGTTGCTATCCAGAGATACCTGAAAGATGATCATCCTTGGGTCAAAAGAAATGAATGTCAAACCGCTGTGTCTGAAAAGCTATATTTTATTTCCATTTATAGAGAGTAAATTGCATTGCGAATACCGCTTTTGAAGTTTAATTGTCTTTGACTACCGCAGCATATTAATTCGGTGAACGACTTGACTCCTCCATCCACTATTGAGCCAAATATCAGAGCCTACGAGCAGGCAGACTTACAGCAAGATGGCTATGATAACGTCAGACGACCATGGCCCACTCCTGAATGTCGCCATGTGGGTTGTACTAGTACCAATGGTCATTATAGCCTTAATAAAAGTTTACACTAAATACGATGCTCTTCGGAAAATCGAGGGGGATGATTATTTGGCGCTCATTGCCATGGTATATATACACCTTCTCATCTGATCTTTGGCGGAAGTTCTCTTCATAATATATGCTTACCATTACCTGCTATATTAGTTGTTATCGGTAGCTCAATGCTTATGTACATCGGAACAAGTTGCGCATGGACTTGGGCAAAACCAAGACTCGATCCTCCCCAGTGAGCTAAATCGCTTCTACATTGTAAGATGAACCACATACTTTCAAGCCTCAGTAATGACTGATGGCTTACAGGCTCAATATGTTGGTCATATCATGTATATTCTGGCAATCTTCGTTTCCAAACTTTCAAGTCTTTACTTCTTCATTTGTCTCACTGGAGAAGGAAGTACTAAGCGACGAGTAATCAAAGGATGCATTGTGTGCATCGGGACATGGAGTTTTATCAGTATAATTGTCGTTGCTCTGCAATGCCACTTTCCAGAACCTTGGAACTTCCATGCGGACCGATGTATTGACGTCGTAAGAATAGCCCTAGTTTTCTTGAAGTGTACATTCTAATCTTGGCAAACGTCTACTAGAGGGCTTTTTGGGCAGTCAATAGTGTAGTGGATATCTTGACGCAAATTTGTGTCGTCCTGCTTCCGATCTATATTCTTAACGGACTGAAAATGGAAGAGTGCAAGAAACGGGTCACCATACTTCTGTTCTCGCCCAACCTTCTGTAAGATTTACCATCCTCTTTCATTTGTTTCCGAATTCGATTCTGAAGATGCAAGTCTGATCCTCTCAACACACACAGGACATTACCTCTGGTCATCTTACGCATGATATATTTTTACCGCGCTATCTATTCCACGAACTATACGTGGGATTCATTTAGCTTGGCACTAACAACGAATTTACACTCCTCATTCGCCATCATATTATCCTGCATTCCATTCTCCAAATCCATCATCGATAGTCTCGTTCTCACACCACCACATATCGTCACGGACACCACGAGAGGCACTGTCTCAAGTTCCCGATCGAATAGTCCCGGAAGAGGAAACAAATACAACACTGGTGGCTCTTCTAATTTCTTGAGCGGTGTTGCAGGTAGAACCACCACAATTGTGACTATTACTCGAGGAGGTAAAGCACATGAGTTGAACGAGTATCTCAATCGTGCCGAGAGTCAAGAGCGAATGATCCCAGAGCCAAAGAGCCCGGCGTCCAGCAAAGCAGAATAGCACTCGGAAAGGAATATAGTATTTGATGATACTCTTCGCCTCTTCGGTGCCTGTGAGACCCAGTGTATGCCTCACAATATCCTAATGTATATCGCAACAAGACAAGACGATTTCAAGTCGAGCATTATTTGCATTGATCGCTGCACAACATCCATCTGCGAGCTCTGCGACGACATTCTTTGCGATGCCAAATTGCTAATGATACTCCTCACTTCATACTGGCCTTTCCGATAACCTTCGTTTGGCACTGGCCAGACACAGGAGTATTGATACAGTTAAGAGGCTGGCTGCCCTTCACTATGTAGCGGTATCAAATTTAGAATGATGCTCCCAAATTTCAAACCAGACAAACCGGAAATAAACCCCCAAAAACCACCCTTATTCCCAGTCCCTACAATTCCACAATTCCAACACAACAACAAACAACCTTGCAAATATAAAGCAGAGTTTTGCTTTATATTTTTCAGATATGCAACAAAACAAATTTGAGCAAGTTTCACCGCCTTTTTGTTTGGCAGAATATTAACTTGCCCCACATATTGATCTGAGTTTACGCCCTTCAAGTGTCAACAAATAAATATATTGAATTGGATTGCCAATATAGTATCTTTCTTCATTCTATCTTCCTATATCCTAAAAAACCTCATACAGATCCAATCCGCAATCTATAATCTGCAATTGCTCTCTCTATAACACATCAGGTTATCATCTGTAAAAATGGCATCCCAAGTAATAATCCGCCATGCATGTCGCGAAGGTGTGTTAATCGAGCTCTATTTACCCCTCCATGCACCTACAAATCCATTCTAGAATACTAACCCTCCTCCCTCTTCCTCCCAGATATCCCTGGCATCCTCACCCTAATCCAAGAACTCGCCGCCTACGAACACGAAAGTGAATCCGTTCAAGCCACCGCTGAATCCCTCTCCAAAACCCTCGCCTTTGCACCTTCGGGCCTTGTATCTCCTACCAACACCAACACCAACACCACCCCACAATCTACCTTTACCTCTACCGGCGACGCCATATCACCCACGCGACCCGCACGCTGTCTTCTCGTCTTTGCTCCGTCGACCAATTCGTCGTTTAGGAACGAACCGGTTGGAATGGCGCTTTATTTCTACAACTACAGTACATGGCGCGCGAGTGCGGGCATTTATCTAGAGGATTTATATGTACGAGAGAGTGAGAGGGGAAAGGGGTATGGGAGGAAATTGTTGTCGATACTGGCTAAGGAGGTGGTGGAGATGGAGGGGGCACGATTGGAGTGGAGTGTGCTGAAGTGGAATGAGCCGAGTATTAAGTATTATGAGGGGCCGAGTGTGGGTGCGAAGGCTATGGATGGGTGGCAGACGATGAGGGTGGATGGAGAGGCTTTGGTGAAGTTGGCACGGAATGCAGAGTAGATTGTGAAAGATAGGGGGCGTTTTGAAGGGTTTTTTAGAGAATGGTATAGAAGATCCCGAGCTCTTGTGCTATCACTTGAGTCACCTATAAGCCAGTAATTGTATGAATATCATGGTTCAAAGCTCTTCTCCTTCACTTCGAATATTATGCTACATTTAAATAGTGGCAGTGATATTACTTTATCAGCTTTTTTGCATTGCGACCAACTATCTTCTTAAACTGTCTGTCCAAGATCCCCTCCTCGGCCAGCCCATCATCCGGCTTTTCGAAAAGTTCAGCATCCTGTGACGACGATTGTGTAATCTTCCCTGAAGCAGATAGTGAACGTTGTCCTCCCCAAGTGACTGTGTATGTTCCGGTTTTCTCGCTCTGCACCATTTTCGCCGAAAGGCTCCAGATCATGCCATACATCCTTCGCATCGCCCGTGTATTAGTCTGTATCGTCGGTGGGTCGTCTGAATCTGACTCCCCTGGTGCCTCTGCCCAATATTTCGTATTCAGCCTGGCTGGCGTGTTTAAAAGCGCATTCAATTCTGAAGCGGGCTGGGGTTCCTTCGTGTCGGAAGAGGTCGCTGGTTTCCGTCTTGGGCGTCTTTGTTCAATGGGTTCTCTTCCTTCGGCCAAATCTGCCAATCTATTCCATTCATGTTCGGGTAATGGCGGCAGAACTCTTTCCAGAATATCGGCCCACCATGCACGTCGCGTGTTCTCTTTGCGTGCCTCTGTGAGTTTGCGTCCCCATGCATTCGTTGCCGGTAACTCTGGTTTGAGTTTCCTGATCCTCCCTCGCATCGATTCGATTGGATTGTTTTCTTGTTGACTTGCAAGGAACATTGTCATCTGTTTGTGCTCTCGGCGCTTCCTTTTGCTTACTGCATTTGCTATATCTATCTCGACATCCTTGGTCGCATCCAGATTTTTCAAAATCTGACTATCCATAAGGGCTTCTAAGGCTGTGTCATCTTGTGGCACTTCATCCTCCCCAGGCTGCAACAATTGAGAGAGCAGTTCCCTTCTTCTTTTTCCAGCTCTTCCATACGTTCTGAGTAAAACGGTTTGCCAATCCTTTGTGCTCCCTTCCAGATTTATGCGCTCCAGCAAATGCAATTTTTGTGCCGCTTTCTTAGACCTTTGTTCTATTGTCTTGGGATCAAATTTGGATCGAAGAAAATCGGTGCCCCAGTATCTCGGATCGAGCTTTCGGGGGTTGTAAGGATTGAATCGTTTGACGATGGATTCATGAGCGTAAATTCGGGCAGCCGAGTCAGGGAGGTAACTGGCCTCGCGCAGCAGGTCTCGATACTGTTTTCGAAACTTTGGAAGGAATTCTATTACCTTCTGAGGAACTTCATAAACAGCTTTCTTTGCGGACGACATTGTAGTTGGTCAAAATGGCCAGCAATCAACAAGAGAACACGGATGGGGGGAAGAACCAGGAGGGTAGCCAGAGATAATTCAGAAAAAAGTATTGTTGTAGCCTTCAAATATAGGCATCAAGTCGCGTATCGAAAGGTTAATCAATAACTTATACAATATTTAGATTTACCGGTAGATGTATTTCATTGAAACCTCCGTCAAATTCATACTGAATGCCAAATATGTTTATTTGTTAGTGCCGGTTTATATACTTGAGTGAATTTACCTCGACGACGACGAGGAGGAGTTATTTACATATGTACCTAGGTACCTTTTTTTATACACCGGCAAGTATATTATATGATTCTAGCTTGCGAACCGACGCGTGAAAGTTCTTTCAAAACCAATCAAATTGCTTGTAATCAAACCACCCCACACCACACTATGTTATACATTCACATTCATTCCACCAAGAAGCAAAACCACTTTACTCTCCTCGCGCTTGAGACACGAAAGACACGAAAGACACGTCGACCTCACCCCTGCTTAGATATTTCGGCGCGTCCCCTTATCGTCATTGATTTGAGAGTATCATCGCTGGTGAATACGCTCAGTGACAACTGAATTGATAGTGCCTGCCCTTTATTGTACGAATCCTTCTGCCCTTGGTGACGCGATTAGCCTTTCACCAATATCTACCATCGCAACACCTCTCGGTATTGAAGTTCTTTACTTATCCTATGGCAGCAGTGACAATTACATCGAACCCTCAACCTCCTCTTGCGACTACCTCGGAATCAAAAAGAAACCATCTGCCACCAAGTACATATTCTATAAGTAATAGTGCATACGATCGTGGCCAAGACTCGACTCGTTATCATCGTGAAATGTCGCTCAGTATGAGCCAAGGATCACAAGCTGGTGGTTTGATGATGCAACCAGGAGGTCCATTTCGTCAATACGATATTATGGGTGTTATGAATCGCAGAGATACGGCACCTCAGATCTACTCGGTAAGTTTTTGTTAGATCTGTTAGATCCGGTGAGCACCAAGCTATTCTTACTAATCTTCTAAAGGCTGTATATTCCAGTGTCGATGTATATGAAATGGAAGTAAATGCTATTGCGGTTATGCGACGACGAAAAGATAGTTGGCTTAACGCTACCCAGATATTGAAAGTTGCAGGAATCGAAAAAGGAAAGCGAACAAAGGTCCTCGAGAAAGAGATTTTGATCGGAGATCATGAAAAAGTTCAAGGTGGATATGGAAAATACCAAGGAACGTGGATCAGATTTGAAAGAGGAGTCGAATTTTGCAAGCAATATGGTGTGGAAGAACTTTTGCGCCCATTGTTAAACTACGATATGGGTCAAGATGGAGGAATTGCAGGACAAGGTGGAATTGATACCCCGACGAAGGAACAAGCCATGGCTGCGCAACGAAAGAGGCTTTACAATACAGGACCAGAGAACCGTAATAATGGACAGTCTGGTGGAACCTTCTTCAAGAACATTTCGAATAATGCGTCGCTTGCAGTTGCAGCAATTAGCAAAGCCCGATTTGATTCACCTGTTCCTAGAAATCGAAATGGTAGCGTGCGACCTCCCAGTTTCAGCAGACAATCATCACAGCAACAAACTGGTAGTCAGGAAACTGCTTTCCCAGGCAACTCGCAACAAAGCATGCAGAGCTTCGTTTCTAATGACGGATTGACAAATGGGCAAGATTCGGCTTATGCAACTCAAGCACAATTTCAATTCTCGCATACCGGGAGAGAGGATGGAGATTTCCAGGAGCCACCACGAAAGAGACGAAGAGAATCCCCTGAACCCCCGAATAATAGTCAGCAATCCGTGAATGGTGGTTATAATAATATGTCTATGCGAGAGCCATCTCCGACTGAGCCTAATGATTCTTTCTTCTATCGTTCACAGGCCAATCTATCTCAGGATGAAGAGGCCCCGGTACCATTACCGCCTCTACCCGAAAACCAGTATAATGGAAAGGAGGGTTTGACCTTGTTATCACTTTTTCATAATGAAAATTCTTACTTGGGCACAAACGAACACAACGATCAGGAGGCGTTTCGCACGATGTCCGGTGTAGAACTTGATATTCCCATAGACAAATCAGCCAACACTGCTGTCCATTGGGCTGCTACTCTTGCACGATTACCTGTCCTACAAAAGCTTATTCAATCAGGTGCGAGCATATATCGAGTAAATCTCAGAGGAGAGACTGCGCTTATGAGAGCATGTTGTGTAGCCAATAATTTAGATCAGGGGAGTTTTCCAGATCTTCTTGAGCTACTCGGCAACACTATTGGATTTCAAGATAATCGTGGCCGAACAGTTTTACATCACATAGCTGTCACATCGGCTGTCAAAGGTCGCAGTCCTGCAAGCAAGTACTATCTTGAATCACTTCTTGAGTTTGTCGTCAGGAAAGGTCGCTCGTTTACAGGCCAACAACAATTAAATAGTGAGCCCGCAAATCCTCATGCCATGGACATTGGTCGATTTATGTCCGAAATGGTAAATGCACAGGATAATTCAGGTGATACGGCTCTCAACATTGCGGCTAGAGTTGGTAACAAGAGCATCATCTCCCAACTTGTGGAAGTTGGAGCAGATCCTGAAATTCAAAATAACTCCAAATTATGTCCATCAGATTTCATCGGTGGCCTAGGAAATCCTGGTGATCGTTTGGGTTTTGCAAGTCCTGATAAGAGAGGGAATAAAGCCACACGGGAAACCAGTGGTGAAATAATTGACTGTAAGATAATGTCCTTCTACGTCTATGAATCCATACTAAAATCCTCCCAGCCATAAATGCAGCACTTCGATCAACCCTTGAGGACTTCGGAAAAGAAGTAGAAGCTAAACAAGCTCAAATCGACTCTATCCATGCCAAACTTCGCGAAGCATCCGCCAACCTAGGAGAAGAACGACGCGCCATGGAAGCAAAACAAGAACGCAATAGACAACGTGAAGAACGTGATCTCAAAATTTCCAATCTCACTCGAGCTGCAGAAGAAGAGAGTATGAAATTACTTCAACTCCAACAACAATTCAATGAACCCACTTCCGACCTCGACCTCGAAATGCATCTAGGTGATGCTGATCAATCTCTTTCGGTTCCACCCATCCATGCATATATCAACACAACCCCTACTCGAAATTCCAAGCGTCAAAATGATCTCGCTAAAAGACAATCGTTACTGAAACAATTACCATCGATGCATATACTTCAAGCGCGCATCAATGCATATAAAGCCAATAACGATGCATTGGAAAGAGATGTCCACGATTTAAAGAGTAAGGATACGGGTCGCATAGCAAAGTATAAGAAAATTATTAGTCTGTGTACGGGTGTCGATATCTCGAAAGTCGATGGTGTTATTGAGGGGTTGGCGCGCGCGGTGGAGAGTGAGAGTGATGTGGATTTAAATCGAGTTAGGGAGTTTTTGACGAGGGTTGAGGGGGCTTAATTAAGTTTAGTTGTGGTATGATGTGGTGTGGAGTGGACTATTGCAGGAAGGAGATCGTGGGGATAAATAGTGCATATATGGTATGGTGTTAGCGCGCACAGTACTTGTATTAATACTAGTACGATTTACATGATCGGCGACTCGGCGTTGAATTGGATTGGATTGGACTGGATTAGCTTGGATTACATTAGATGCAAAGGAAAGGAAAGGAAGGAAGGAAGGAAAAGGTATCACAGATATGTATGTATATGATGATTGTAAGAGCAAGAGTGAGTGTGAGAAGTTCCATCCACTTTACGTTACTCTTCTTCTATGTATATACAATACGTATATCGAGTAGGAAATATGGAAAACATGGATATAGGATCAGTACTGTTACTGTAATAGACAGGCAGTAAAGTAAGTAAGTAGTGCAAACCCGTTTTTGAATCAAATAATTTAAGTTAGAGGATCGTAGTACCCGAGTAGTAATTTAATTACTTAGTAATTAGTTGATGTTAGTAAGGGTTATATCACTCAAATAGATTACTGATAGTCACGATGATTACTAGGAACCGTTCCATTGGAGGAGAGCCGACTGCTACATAGACTGTATTAGTATCATAAGCGAGGAGTTTTGAAGCGAGAACTTTGGAAGGATTTGAAAGATTTGAAAGAGATTTGGAGGGTTTTATGTTATGGATTCATTCTACTCGTGTTATAATCCTATCTTAAGTCAACTACCCTACTTTCGGACTACCTTTTCACACCAAAAACAGTGATTTTCGATTTTTATAACTTTCTTAATAATGAATATAATTGAATGAAATTTTAAATATAGATTCTTTATATAGTTATTAGCTTGGTTACAACTTTTCAGATTTTTAGTGATTTTATATAAAAAGTTTTTAAGATTTAAAATTCAGATTTTATTTTGTAGATAATTTGTATACAAATTAAAATATTCAATAACTTTTCAATATAAGTAATTAAAATTAATCTATTAATTTTAATTTTAATGAAATATTTGATATTCGAAGATTATAAAAATATCTTTTTATTTTAAATTATTCTATATATTTAAGCTTTTATTAATAATAATCGTTTTTTTTAATACAAATTTTTAATTAAAATATCTAATATTTTGAATAAAAGATTAATTACCAATTTTTATTTAAAATAAATTAGTTTTCTATTGTGACCAAAAGGGTATAAACAGGACT